TAAATTGAAATAAAATATACTGTTTACAGAATTTCCTTAGCAGATGAATATCTACTGTACTGTACAGTATACATGTTAAAATTATGTAGGTTTGAGTTTAGAAAATGGTTAGACATCATGTCTGCATCTTGTCCTCTGAATAACTCTTACAAAGACAATATGTAATGTATTAATTATTGTAACTGCCCTACTAACCTGTTTTGAAACTGTTTCATAGCTATTTTATCTTTTTTTCTTATTAAAATGAATTTTAAAAATTAGGAAAAAAAGAAAATGGTTAAGAACATTAGAAGTATGGGAAAGGTTTCTAAGAGTGTGGGAAAGGCTGAAAACTTAAAAATATACATAAATACTAAAATAAAAATAACATCACTACTTTGCTGATCTTTCCTTACCGCAGGGGTGTTTGGAGCGGAACCTACTCAGTGAACGAGGGTCCACTGTAGCTTTAAATTTCCTGCATTCTGGGCTGGAATACAGTTCAGTGGCAGGGCACCTGCCTGACAAGAGCAAGGTCCTGAGTTCAAGTCCTAGTACCCCCTCCCCAAACTTCCTGTATTCTGCCCAAAGATTTAAGGCCAAAGCTAATGTGATTCTTTTTTTGTTGCTGTTGTATTTTAGGGAAGGGCCTACAGGGTGTTCAGGGTCTCACTACTAGATTGGACTTGTAGTGATTCTCTTGTTTACAGCCTCCCAAGAGCTGGGATTACCGGTGTGTGTCACCACACCCAGTCTCAACTGCTGTCTTAGCTTGCCCACAGGGCGGGGCCAGCTCAGCAGGCTGGGGGATCAAATACCCAGCCCCTGTGTCTGCTTGCATGTGCTTTAACCCACTGAGCATTTTGGCCAGCTCTTGTACTTCTAAATAATGCATTTTTAGGGAGTCCTATACACTATGGAGGGGGCACAGACTTAGACCCCAGACTGCTCAGCCCCTCCCCTCAGCTACCCAGTCACAGGTCCTGGTTAGACTGTGTCACGGGTCCATGCCTGGGGCTGTCACTATACAATGGGGAAGGCCTCTTAGAGTCATGGTGTGGGTGTTGGGGCAAGACAGTGAATGCAGGCCGGGCCTGGCAGATGTCTGGCACAAAGCAGGCACCCAGCACCACCAGACCCCTCACTCTCACTTCCCCCAGGCTAATCAAACAGTAAAAAGAAAACTTCAGGTCCTAAAGATCCTAGTTTCAGAATAAATAAAGTGAAAGTAAAAACAGGTTATCTCTGTGTCACAAGAAATGGACACATCTAACACCATACATAACAGCTGACTTATCTGCCTTGTTAAAGACCTCTGCACGGGCTGGAGAGATGGCTCAGTGGTCTAAGGCACCTACTTGGAACAAGCTTGGCAAAGCACAGGGACTGCAGTTTGATCCCCCAGCACCACATGCCAGCCAGCCCCGCCCCCTGGTGGGCTTAAAAACAGGTGGCAGGCTGGTCAGGCTGTGGACGGGAAGCCTGATGGACCTGCGGAGAAGGCTCAGGCCGCAGGCGACACTCGGGACCCGGGAGCCACCATCATGGCTGCTGCCGCTTTATCCCCGCACACCTGTGAGAGGAGTAGGGCTGTCCTCGCCGCAGCCCCTTTCTGCCCTATGACGGGTCCTGCCAGAATATCACCAGGGAGTACACTGAGCTGCGTAACGCCTCCCGTCGGGATCTCTACGAAGGAAGGTGATGGGAGCCATTCCGGTGATACTCAGGGAGACGTTTTTGCTCTCAGAGCTTGAGCCTGAAGTCTCCCGCTGGAAGACATCATCTGTGAGAGGGGAGTTGTGCCCTGCTGAGCTGTCCTGGAGGCCGACCCTCCCTCCGTCTGCACCTCACCCCATGGCATTCCCATGCCACCGCCCAGTGGCAGGACCTGTGTGGGGGTTTGTGCCAAGGGTGCTTCAGTTACACCCTCCTTTCATTTCCCTAGATTCTACTTAGAACCTAACACACAGCTCTCTTTCTGTCTGTCTGTCTGTCTCTCTCTCACCCACCAAACAAGCAGCAGAGCACAAGGGCAGGCCCAGGGCCCCGAGCCAAGCACCTAACACACTGTTCGTTTACCTGGAGGAAAGGAAACGAAGCCAGGACATTCGGAATTTTCTCTTCCAGGGCCAAAATGGTTTGGAGCAGAATCACGTCGGCGAGGCTCAGCTGATTGCCAACGAGGAAGTTCTGTCCGTGGCCCTTTAAAACCTGCGAGGTGGAAGCGGTCTGCATTGGTTCGATCCTCCACTCGGGGGAGCGAGTGAGGTCACTGAAGCAGTGCTGTGTCTCGCAAGGGCTGTGACCCTGGCAGGGGCCTCTCCTCCTCTAAGCACGGCAGTTAGAGGGCAACCCTGGGTCTGAGGAGGGGCAGAAAGAGCAGGAGCGCAGCGCGCAGATGGCATGCTGCAAAGGGGGCCGGTGCCACGTGTGCACCCAGGACCGCACGTGTGAGCTGCGCGGGGCAGCCTGGGGAGCCTTCTCAAAGTAAAAGGTAAAGACGGGGGGCCGGGGAGATGGCTCGGTAGAATAAGTGCTTCTCTGGTAAGCGCAAGGGCCTGAGTTCAATCCCTGGTTCCGCCAAAAAAAAAAAAAAAAAAAAAAAAAAGAAAAAGAAAAGAAAAGGTAAAGAAAGGCCAAAAAGTCGTTCAGTGAAGGGTCTGGGCGTAGCTCCTGGCCCCGGCCCCATCTAGTCCAGAAATGTGCCACAGGCTGAGCTGGCTCTGAAGAGGCCTCGAGTCCAGGGTGGTCCGGAGCCCAGGGACGCGCACCTCCTGGCTGCGCTCTCCCCGCCCAGGCCTCTGTTGCCGTGAGCATGGGGACCTGGCTGAAAAGCAGACTTCCTCGCCCGGCTCCCCAGACGGGAAAGCGGAACCCTGAGATCAGGCCGACTCCCCATGTGCGGTGACAGTGGGTGAAGGGATTTACAGGAAGGCACTGCGGTCACAGAGCGGCAGGGAACGTGGGGACGAAGGGGCGATCCCTCTGGCAGGAGGCCCTGGATGCCCGAGGCGGGGTGCTGTGCGAGTGCAAGCGCCAGGCTGAAGCAGCTCCCGGAGGGATGCAGCCACAGCAGCCCAAGCAGCCCGGGGCGGTGAGCCCAGAGCTCCAGCCCCACTCTCCCTTTTACGGCCGTGTGCCGTGGACCAGTCGCTGGAGCTCTGTGATGCCCTTTCGCCATGGGCACAGGGAACCTTCTGCCTCACAGGGTGGCTCCTGTGTGAGGAGCCTCACGGAGCCACAGACTTGTTAGGTCCCTTTCCCTGCTTCACAGACTGCTCCTGGGAGGAGGCCGAGGAGCCAAGCCACAGAAAACCCCAACCCACTCTGCTCCTTTTCTTAACTCTGTTGCCCTGAAGGAGTGGACAAACAGGCCTGTCTATACTCATGTTCTCTTGTTGCGTTTTTTTTTTTGGTGGTACCAGGGATTGAACTGAGGACCTTGCACTTGCCAGGCAGGTCTTGTTGCGTTTGTAACTAAAATATTAAAAAGAAATTCATCCTAGTAAAAGAGAAAAGGAATTTAAAGCTCAGAAGAACAGATATAGTAGTAAAAAGAGGAAAATAAAATAAGAGCAAAAGGAAGATAAAATGGAAATGGTTCTTGTGTCCAACTCTGACGTCTGCTACATAATAGCTGGCCAAGAGGTAATGAATGAATGAATGAATGAATGAATGGATGGATGAGTGAACAAGCTAGTTTCAGTTTCTCTGTGTCTTACACAAGTCGGTGTGGATAACCACGCGCCCAGGTGGAAGCCCACAGTTCCCAGAGGAGCGTGGTCCTCGCCAAGCCCTGGGCTCTGTGCTGCCGGCCACGGCCAGCTGGGTGGCGCCCACAGTGACCCCTGCTGGGGCACCTGTGCTGTGCTCAGGGTCTCTGCACCTACCTTTTCAAACACGGGAAAGTATCGAACGATGGCCTTCTGGGCCATGTGGAGCACTTCCTTCGGCTGGTACTCCGGCTTTAGGAAAGGGTGCATGATGATGGGCTCCAGCAGGTCCAGCGTGCCCTCCGTGTACATGTCGATCCTGCAAACAGAACGCGGCCCCTCAGCCCGTGCGCCCGGGGCTCAGCAGCCGCACAGCCAGGAGTCCTGAGTGCTCTTCCTTGGGCCCTGACAAGCTCAGCACTGAGAAGTGCTCACCTACACCTGTCTCAAAGAGCAAAGCCAACTCTAACTACAGCTCAAAAAGCCCTTCAGAAAAATCTGGCCCAGAGCCGTGAGCCTGCCAGTCCCGGCTGCCGGCTCCTCCCCGCCCCGACTTGCCCTGGCACCACTCCGGCCCCTGGAGAAGCGGCCTCACTCCCTGAGCGCTGGAAGGGGACTGGTGCAGAGCACGCTATCACCGTCTGGCGCGAAGCCAGCAAATTATACCCCAAGTGTGCTGTTCCTGGCCTTGAGTGTCACAGCAACTAATACTCAAAGAGGTAAAAAGCAGCATCAAAGCATTTGATGCTTTAAAATCTGAAATGAGAGCAGGCAGGGAACTCAGTTCTTCCCTATCATTTACCTCCAGTGTGATCACTAACCAAGACACAATCCCAACATTAAAGTTCTGAATGTTGAAATCCACAAAGCCACATTCTATTTTATGGGGTAGGTGTATCTTTTTCAGTTCTTCCCCCCTCATTATTTAATTTAATTAATTTTTTTTGTGGTAGGGGGAATTAAACTCAGGACCCTGTGCTTGCCAGGCAAGCGCTTATTCTACTGAGCTATTTCCCTGGCCCCTCCCCTCATTATTTTATTTATTTATTTATTTATTTAAATTGTTGGGGATATAGTTTATTTTATTTATTTATTAATTTATGTGTTTGTGTGGCCAGCTCCGCCCACCAGGGGGCGGGGCTGGCTGGCATGTGGTGCTGGGGGATCGAACCGTGATCCCTGTGCTTTGCTAAGCTTGTTCTAAGTAGGTGCTTTAGACCACTGAGCCATCTCACCAGCCCCATCCCCTCATTATTTTAAACTGCCTACATTAATTTTCATAATTAACTATGCTGAGTATTTCATCTTTGGATCACTTCCAATTCAGGAGGCATAAATTGCATGGGCTTTTAGAAAGCTCTAATGTAGTACAAGCATCCCCCCAGATTTGACACCCGGAAAGAGCATTCTAGGGACGCCAACTCTGTGTAAGAGCATTATGAATAGACACGAAAAAGCTGGCATTTCCTCAATAAAGAAGAGACATCCAGCGGCCCAGAGATGGCTCAGTAGAGTAAGCGCTTGCCTGACAAGAGAAAGGCCGGTTCTGCCAAAAAAAAAAAAAAAAAGAGAGAGATGTCCTTTCCCATGTCTGCACTTGGGAGACATAATCTCCCAACACATGGCTCTCTGGGTGACCGTGGCGCTCGGAGGCTGCGACCGACCTTGTCAGGAGTCTCCGATGCACGGCCACAGCACTTCTGACAAGTGCAGCGTAAGGCGGTCTGCACACGCTTACTAGGCCCAGGGTTATGGATTTACACGGCTTGCTCTGTTCTGAATAATCTTTATCTGTTTACAACAGCTAAGTCCATTTTTATTTTTACTTATTTTTTCTTTTTCGGCAGAACCGGGGATTGAACTCAGACCCTTGCACTTACCAGGCAAGCGCTTATTCCACCAGGCCATCTCCCCAACCCCAACAGCTAAGTCCAAATGAGTGTTGTCAGTATGTCTGAGTGCTTGTTTGCAAAAACCTTTGTTGCCTGTTTTATGCTATCAGGAGGCCGATGGAGTGCTGTGCCAGTTTCATGTTTCTCAAGTAAGTATCCCTGTAACATACAAATAAATGTCTTTTAAACAATTTTTAAAATTAGTTTTTCCAGAATTGTACTTTTTGGGTGTCATTCTTTGGGGTTCTTAGGCTGCAGGCATTCTGATGCCTCAGGATTTCAGCATTCGGGGTGACATTTGGGGTCGACTGCAGGAATTACGATCCAAGCACGCGCCCCTCGGCTGCCTGGCCCGTATTCCCCGCGGGGCTGCGCGGCCTTCCTGGGTTTTGCTCCCTGCCTACGTTAATGAGCCAACATAAAGGACAGGGGCGAGCCGCAGAGCAGCTCGTCAGCTACGGCAGCAGAAGGCGTTGGGCCACAGTACAGGGTTCTCTCCTTGAGGTCCCTGCCGAAGAGCTGGTGCTTCTCAGCGATGTAGTGGAGGATGCTTCGAGTCTGTACCAACTTCATGCCGTCTATTTCGACCATGGGCACTTGCTGGAACAGCAGGTGGTCACCTAGGACAAAAGCCACCCATTAGATGTGACCTCTTCTTCCCTGTTCTCCAAACCCGAGAAAATGGTACTGCCCGTGACAAGCACAGCGAAGCACAGGCTTTTCTGGGGCTGCAGGTAAGCTGAGCTGCACTCGGGAGCAGACGGAGCCATAAGAGAAGCGTGAAATCTAACAGTTATAAACATTTCCTTTTCCTTTTCACTCCACATACTCACAAAGCGCACTTCTTCAGAGCGGTGCTGGCCGAGACTGTAACTATCAGCAGCTACACAAGGCTACAACGGAAGCCTCTACTGAGCCAAGTATTAAACACTGACACATCATGCCGGGTCACACTAAACACACCTCAGGTGCAGCTCTTAGGCTCCACGACAGACAGAACAGACGGGGCCACTTCTGTCCCTGTGGCGTTGCGCTGCGCAGCACAGGCAATCTGGTCGGGAAGCCCAGCGGGAGCTCTCCCTTCGATTCTGCAGCCAAAGACACTATGCCAGCCCAGAACATTCTCCAGCAAGCCTGCACCGCGCTTCGCACACACCAGCCCCTGGTCTGAGCCACAAGCCCAGAGATCAGCTCCTCAGGGACTCCAGGCCAGCGCCACACCAGAGAGGAGGCCCACTGGCTATAGGACAGGCGCGGGAAAGTGTGCGCAACCCCGCGCGGTGGTGCCGTGCCAGGCATGTGGCCTGGGGAGCGCCGGGCAGGGGCCAGTGACTGATTTCACTTTTCCGGGGATTGAACTCAGGCCCCAAGGGAAGGGCTTATTCTACTGAGCCATCTCCCCAGCCCCTGATTTCAAACTGGGGATTGAACTCAGGCCCTTGCGTTTGCCAGGAAGTGCTTATTCCACTGAGCCATCTCTCTGGCCCCTGATTTCGTTTCTGTGCTGAGCCCACCCTGAGCTCAGGTAGGAGGACATGGAGCAGACTAAGAGGAGGAGAGGCAAAGAGAAGAGAGAGACAGGAAGGGGCTGGGGAAAGGCAGGCAGGAGCTGGCGATGCAGCCAGCCAGGCCGCTCACGCAGGCGGAGGAGTGCGCTCTGGTCAGTTTGCTTCACACAGCTCCTGAACGTGAAAGCAACTCTGGCGATTCCAGCTGAGCAACTCTGGCTTTAGGTCACGTCTTTTCCCCATTTTTACTTTTACTGGTGCACGCTGGCTGCACACGCTGCTTACATTCACTGCGCAGACCTGGCTCTTTCCCTCGTCTCCCTCCCACTTCATCTCAGCCTCCCTTAGGGTCTCCCTGTGTAGCCCAGGCTGCTCACTCTTTAGGCCAGGTTGGCCTCAGGCGTGTGCTCTTCCTGCCTCAGCCTCCTGAATGCTGGCTGACAAGCACACACCACCACATCCAGCTTAGAACACTATTCTTCATGTTTTAACATCTTTCTCTTCCACTTAAATATCAATTCTTAACACGAAATCAGCCCGAAAGACAGTTGTTTCATTTTTTATACTCACCATCCTGCAGCTTCTCCAATTGTTCTCTTGTTTCCAGAAATTCCTCATCAAACTAAATTAAAAAGATAAGTATCATTATAGGTGCAGAGTTAAATTCCCTCCAGAAGCAGAGAAAGAGCTTGCTTGGCATTCACATCCTGGCATCTAAACATCACTGCCCGCTCTTCCTACAAGGTTGACTCTGCTTTGCCAAAAAGGAAGTACTAAACGCAAACCAGAGAACTCAGGGCAAAGGCACGGAAGACCCTGCTGGAGAGGATCCCTGAACGAAATCAGGGGCGAGGCTTGGGTTCTAATACACAACCACAAAATCTCTGCCTATGAATGATAGTATGTGTGTGGTTTTTTGTGGTACTGGGGATTGAGCTCAGGACCCTGCACTTGCCAGGCAAGTGCTTATTCTACTAAGCTATCTCCCTGGTCCTTGATAGTATGTTTTGAAAGCTGCTTTGGAAAAGAATCAGTACGATTATGGCACCTGTAACATACGGGGGAGGGGAAGCAGTGGGGGCCATGTGAGGGGAACGTGCTGTGCAGTTTACTGCCCTTGCATGCAGGCAAGGAGAGCGCGGTCAGGCTGTCTGCCTCAACAAAGACAAGCGTGCCCCTCTCACAGGGGTGGGGAGAAGGCAGAGCATCAGGAAGGAAGACCCCAGTACAAATATCTGTGGCCAGAGCTCCCTCATAGCCTTGCGCCTCAATGGGCAGAGTCCTGGAAGTGTCCCGTGGTGGTGTAAATTCTCGGGAGTCTCCAGGTGTCCCCCATGTCCCAGGACCTTCTCTCCTTTCCTTGTCCTACCTTCTCTCCTTTCCTGTGCTTCCCAGTGACAGCCTCAGGCGCTGAGCTGAGTTCCCTGCAGAGAGCAGCGCTTCTGCTGGCCAGCGGATTGGGCACTGGAGGAGTTGGGGCCTTACACTAATTAGCGAAGAGTTAGTATAAATAAGTGCTAACTTGAGCAAATCAGGAACCCAAGTGTGGCCACTTGGTGGCCTCCAAGTGTAATAATCCTAATAAGGGTCATGGGTGCTGAAGTACTGTGGTAGGAAACAGCCACCCCATCTCCAACGTCACCCCATAAGTCGCTCACCTGCAGTAAGGGGGCTACAGTGGGCAGGCCCAGAAGGCTCATCCTTTCCAACAATAAAACTTAGCCCTGGGTTGGGACACTGGGATATCTTGTGGCTCTTGTTGACACACTCAGAAGGGGAACAGTAAAGCCTATAAAACTATCCAAAAGACACCTAACGTGAATCTAATCGGCAAGGGAGAAACCAGGTCTGCCCAGGCCTGGGCCAGTCTGTGACATGGTGGCCTGGCCTCAGCAGGAATCCAGAGCACAGGGAAGAGGCAGATTGTCATTCTCCATGAAGAGAGGACCAACAGTCACAGCAAGCAAATGCTTGAATCCTGGGGAGCTTTACAAGCACTGGGGAAACACAGCATAGCTCAGTGACATTTGGGGGACAGTAGGAAAAGTCTTGAGTATGGACTGCCTATAAGAAATGGCTTTAGTTCTGCATTAATGTGTAGTTAGCAGGGCAATTACTTATTTCTTTAACACGATTAAGAGAAATAAAAACAGGGAGACCACAAGTAACACAATGTTAACAACTACAGACGGAGTTGAAAGGAATCCATTGTGCTAATCATAGCTGGCCTGTAGGTGTGAAAGTTTTCAACTTGAAAGCTAAGGGAGAAAAGAAGCAATGTTAATGAGCTCTCCTGCTATTTATATTATTGTATGTACACATTCTAGAATGTTCCTGGCTAATGTCAAGCAGCCAGGATGAGGCCCCACCTGGGCCTGGGCCTGCACTGCCCCCAGGAGTCACCCAAGGTGGGCAGAGCTGGATAGTGTAGCCTCGCCAGGCCTCCAGACCTCTGTTTCCGGGAGCTGAAGGGAGCTGAGCGGGGGGCAGAGCCGGGATGATGGGGTGCGGGCTTGACTTTTGTTATCAGGGTACCCCTAGTGGGAGGAGATGGACCTTGGTTCCCACAGAGGTTGTCACCTGATGCCCACCGCCAGTAGCCTTAGGGTGACAGGAACCAGGACTTTGGTCCCAACACCTCAGAGGTGTAGGTGTGTACCCTCTCTCTGCCTACCTTGTTTGTCAAACTTTTACAACCACGATTCCTCAGAACACAGAGGAAGGGCGAAGGGCGGTGGGGGGCGGGGGGCGTCCCTCAGTTCACATTCAGTACTTGGGAGGACCTAGAAATACACATTGTTAAAAGAAGTCCTTCCAAATGATCCTGACCTTTCACTTTTGAGAGCAGGTGTGAAAATGTGTGCTATTTCTCTACCATAGTTTTGTATCAGGCTTTAGGATACAGGGACCAGCAGATGAGACAGAAAGAAGGAAAGTCCTACAAAATAGCGAAGGCCACCAGGACAGGGACAAAAGGCTCAGGTGCGGTTCCCTGTGGGGCGCTCCAGAGGTCTCCCCCTTCCCACAACCACACCCCTTCTTCAAGGGGAACTGCTCCTGAGTCACCAGTTTCTAGCCATGTCTTCTTCTTCATGAGTGCTCCCTTGCTCTTAACACCGGGGCTTGTGGGTTTCCAAGGCAAAGGAAGTTGCAAGTGTCAAAGACCTAGCTCCAGCACACAACATTGTCTGCAAGGCTTCAAGAAAAGAAAACAAATAAAGTAAAATAAAATAAATAAAAGCAAGGCTTTGGGCTGGTGAGATGGCTCAGTGGTCTAAAGCACCTACTTAGAACAAGCTAAGCTAAGCAAAAGCACAGGGACCACGGTTCAATCCCCCAGCACCACATGCCAGCCAGCCCCGCCCCCTGGTGGGCTAACTGGCTACACACACAAAATAAATAAATAAATTACAAAAAAAAATAAAAATAAAAAAAAAATAAAAGCAAGGCTTCAAACTAAGTCCCTGCGCCTGGGGACGCTGACCCCTGGAGTTAAGACAGCGGTGCTGCACCAGGTTCTAGCTGCCTTGTCATTGATTTATGTGGGCACGTTTAGTGAAAATGTATTCTGGCACACAGATGGGGAGCGGCTCCCCAACACCATCTTTCACAAACAGTGCCTATCAGCCACGTGGCTGGGTCCACCAAGGGTACCAACTCAGCTCCTTCCCTGGTCTGCAGGGTGGGCTCATTCTGCCCCATCTGCTCGCCTGCTGTGCCAGGCCTGGAGTACACGCTCAAGTGACTCATGTCTTGCTTAACTAATTTAAAGTTGGGATTTCTCACCATAACAAAGACATCTTGACTCACAGGAGAGTAGAAGCCGGTAGAATGAAGACAGAGAAGTTGACAAAGGATGATATTACATACATAGAGAGACACCCATTCAAAACCCACAGGAGAAATAAAGAACAACATGCCGTGCTGGCCCCACCCCCGGGGCACACTGGGCCTGGGCACGCTGGTGCGCACCTGTAATCCCAGCACTTGGGAGGCTGAGAACAGGAGAATCACTACAAGTCCGATCTACGTAGTGAGACCCTGTACTAAATACACACACAAAGAACTCAAGAATAACAAACTCAGAGGCATACCTGGGTTGAACAAATGATAGAAATAAACGACAGGCATAGACAAGTGATATGAATAAGGCAAATTGGGTTCAGGTTCTGGAACCACAAATTTTTGCACTTTCCTCTTAATCAGAAAATGAACACTGGGACAAGAGAAATGGTGAGAAGTTCATACTCAGATCAGCAATCGCTGCTCTGATGAAGTGAGGGGCGGGCACCACCAGATCCTCCCAGTGCTTAGAGGAAGGCAAAAGTCAAGATCTTCTGTAAAGGGATGGTAATCGTGGGGCCTCAGTTCACAAATGCTTTTGTTTGCAAACAGTTTGGTCTAAAAACAAATGCATTTGGCAAAATCTTGCTTTTGCTTGCAAAGTCTAACACGGTGACAAATACAACTACAAGAGACGCCCACACAAACACAAACACAAACGTGGCCGACTTTTCCAAAATCATGGAGCAAATTGTTAGTGAACGAGGTACCACTGCTCCGTCGAAAATGATAAAAGCACTGTGTGAGTGACATGCAAAAATTAAAATGAAAACATATAAATAAAACTCCAAACCCACATTTGTCATCTTTGGAAGTTGCTGGGGTAACGACTCACTAATCGGAACATTTATAAAAGAATCCAGCACTTACAGAGCATTTCCAATGTGGACGATATTTCAGTTAAGAGTGAGAACTACCCATTATAAGAGAGTCCCAGTTAACCATTACAGACGAAATCATAGAAACACAAATTTGCTATTGTCATTCCCAATAGTGATGACAACTGCGTGCAGAAGGCTGGCACTGGAGAGCACAATGGGTGAGCTCTGGACACCAAGAGGGCGCCCTGCAGTCCTGGGACGGGGGAACAGAAATGCAGGGGGGTGGGGACAGGAGGCACACAGGGCACGCACAACAAAGAGGAAACGGAGTCTGGGTTGGGGGCCAAGAGGCGTTTGCATGAAAAGTGAAGAGGATGTTAGAAACTGAGGGTAGCCTCATGCCGCCATTACTTCCAGGCAGCATCTGGAAGACACACGAGAAAAATCCAGGAGGGGGTTCTACAGAGCAGTTCCCTCACAAATAAATGGCTTAGAAATGAACTATAATCCTAGCACTCAGACCTCGGCTGCTAACGTGACTCACTGATACAAAGGACTGCTGGATTTCAAAGCAAGGGCAGTGAACACAACACACGAGCCTGCAGCATCTTACACTGCCAGGAAGAACTCTCGTACTAAGACAAAGAAAACCCAGAAAGGGGCCTCTGGACCACAGCGGGAATAATCTGAACAGTAAATAAAGGGGGTGGAGTGGGAACAAATGCTCCGTAGGGAAGACTCCCAGCAGGTGGACTGTAAGTGTGGCTGGGCCCAAAGGTTTGCTCCTAAGAACTCAAGGAAACAAGCCGGGACAACAGAGAAAGGCACAGGCCTGGCCTTGCAGGAGCAATGTGTGCTGCTGTTGTGCGACCCTAGTAAAATGCGAGGAGGCTTTGACCCAATCTCATAAATCCATCCAATCATGAGAAAAACAGCAGATAAACCCAAACTAGAAGGATTTCATTTTTATTTTTTTATGTATTTGGTCCAGGCTCTCACTACATAACTCAGACTCATAGGGATCCTCCTGTTTTCAGCCTCACCAGCGCTGGGATTATAGGCATGCGGCACCACACCCGGATTAAGATTTCTACAAAAATGAAATCTGTGGAGGTACTGTGGAGGTGAAAGAGAAAAGGTTAAGAAACTGTCAAAGATGGAGGAGAACTAAAGAAGCTCATGGACTAAAAATAACGTTTGATCGTGACATAGAAAAAAGACATTAATGGGAAAAATGGCAAAACCCAAATAAATCCAACATTCCTGGTCTGACCTACTGAAATCATAAGGCACAATTTTACAAGCTGTATACAGATTTAAAATCATTTCCGAATATAATGTAGTAATTTTTAAATGAAGCAGAAAGTGCTATAGACTTTTAAAATACTGGAAGATTAAAAAATCAAATGGAATGTGCAGACATTGTTCAAATCAAGACTTTGAACAAACTATTTAAACACATCTGTGACCATCAGACTGTTAGATGATACTAAGGATTTGTTAATGTTCTCGGGTACGATATTGGCAGTGTTATGTTTTAGAAGCAAAATACAGCGCTCCCAGAAGAAACCCTAAGATGTCTGGATTTTGCTCCTGCAGGAGAGGGGAGCCATCCAGCCACGGAAGCTGAGCGACGGCCGCGGGCACGGAACTTATGCCACTGTCTCTGAAATTTTTCATGAGAAAGCAAGTGAGCGCAATAAACATGAAAAAACCGTGAGGACAAACGCTTCCACCCACGCAGGCAAGAAGCCGAGGCTGCAGGCCGGGGCCATGCACTGGAAAAGGACCCAGAGACGCGCTAATCAATCGCAGTTCTGGGGGGCACGGGCCAATTTCTGGCTGCTTCCCGCTCTTCTCATCGGCTAATATTCTCTGGTGGAGCCGGGAAGCCGGGCTGGAAGAGCCAGCGGTCGAAAGGGACTCAATCCCAGCACCGAGTCGCACGCAGCACGCCGCGGCCCCGAAGCCCCGCGGCCGCGGACGGTACCTCGACTCCGGCGGCGGCCAGCAGCCAGCGGACGGACTCCATGCGGCCCCTGCCGTTGGGGTAGTGCAGCCGGGGCCGGGCGGCCATGGCGCCTCGCTCGCTCCTGCAAGACACGCGGAGGCCGACGGCGGCGCTTCCGCCGCCCGGCTGGAGAACAGGCGAGCGCCCTGCAGCGCCGGGAAGGGCGGTACCCGCCCCGATGCCCACCGCCGCGCCTACCTACGCGGGTGCGGTAACCGGAGCAGCGGCCCGGCAGGCGAGGGCGCGGCGCAGGCGGAGGGGGCGGGGCTTCGCCGAAGGGGCAGGCGTCGCTTAGCATGCACCACCAATTGCAAGGCATTATGGGTAGTTCATCAG